AATGGTTACCAGGGAGGTAGGTTGGGGATGGGTTAAACAGGTGATAAGTATTAACAAGTGCCCTTGTTGTGATGAGCATCGGTGTTGCATGGAACTGTTAAATCACTGTATTATATTCCTAAAACTAGTATTACACTGTATGTTAACTAACTGGAGTTTAAATAAAAACTCCAAAAAAAATTTTTTTAATGCAAAATGGTATAATTAAGTAAATATATTGGATTTAAAAAAACCTTTTTATTTATTTATTTTTTTTTTTAAAGATTTTTATTTATTTATTTGACAGAGAGACAGCAAGAGAGGGAACACAAGCAGGGGGGGTGAGGGAGGGGGAGAAGCAGGCTTCCTGCTGAGCAGAGAGCCTGATGCAGGGCTCGATCCCAGGACCCTGGGATCATGACCTGAGCCGAAGGCAGACGCTTAACGCCTGAGCCACCCAGGCGCCCCCCCAAAAAAATCTTTTTAAAAAGAGGCTTAACCTCACTAGTAATCAGGAATGTGAAAATTAAAACCATAATGAAATATTACTACACACCCATGGGAATGGTTAATATTTAAAAATCTGACAGTACTAAAAAATAAATTAAATTAAAAATAAATAAAAATCTGACAATACCAAAGGTTGACAAGATATATGACAAAGATAATTTTCATATAGTCTTGGTAAATCAGTAGAACCACTTCTGAAAACAACTGGAACAATGGTTACACTCATACAATACTGATTGGAGGATACATTAGTGAAAACCACCTTGGCAAACAACTTGGCATTATCCATATAGGTTAAACATATACACAATTCCACAATCCAGGACTCCACTCATAGATACATATGCCCAATAATAATGAGTGCATTTGTTCACTGCAACATTCTTTGTAAGTGCTCCCAATCACAAAACCCAAATATCCATCAATATTAGAATAGATGAATAAATTGTGATATTTTCATACAATAGATTACTATATGGCAAAGAATCACAGTCACACACACCATAGGCAAATCTCACAAACATAATGTTGAGCAAAAGAAGACAGATACAGAAGAATACATACTTGACCATTTCATATATATTAAATTTAAAAAGCAGGCATATCCAAATTATAGTGCTTAGGGATACATGCTTGAGTAATAAAAGTATAAAGAAAAACAAGAATGTGAATACTATGAAATCAGGATAATGATAACCCTTGGGGGATAACGATTACAAGGGGTCATAAGGGGAGCTCCTGGGGTATTAGCAATCTTCTATTTCCTGACCTAGTTTCTAGTTACGCAGCTGTTCTGTTCAGATAAATCATTTAGCTATTTTTGTTTCAGGCACTTTTCTTGATATGTTTTATTTCACAAAAAAAGGTTAAGAAAAAAAGACCTAAGGGGCAAGTTAAACAGATGAACTAAATAAAGAAAAAAGGGGACTGTAAAAGAGACCTAAAGAAACTGTGCAGAATGAATCCAGAGGGATGACAATTATGTTAACTATAAAGGAGAGAGATGCCTGGGTGGCTCAGTCATTAAGCGTCTGCCTTTGGCTCAGGTCATGATCCCAGGGTCCTGGGATCGAGCCCCACATTGGGCTCCCTGCTCAGCAGGGAGTCTGCTTCTCCCTCTCCCTCTGCTCCTCCCCCTGCTTGTACCCTCTCACTCTCTCTCTCTCAAATAAATAAATAAAATCTTTAAAATTATAGGGGGGTATATATATATATATATGCTATCCTACATGTCTGGTAATGTAGGATATATTGTAAGAGATTACCAGACATGTAGGATAGCATAAAAAGTTGAGAATACAGCTGATCAAATTCCAGCAAGAAAGAAGGAACACGATGAGGAAGATGAGAAGGAAAAGGAGGAGGAAAGGGGGGAAGAGGAGGAGAAGAACAAACAAGGTAAAGATAATATTCAAAGAGAATTTAAAAATTCAAAGAAGATACCAATCCTCATTTCCAGCTCTCTCTCTGAATCCCAAGCTGGAAATACAGAGAGAATACCTAGCCTCATCACAGTGAATCTTTAGAACCACAAACTCAAAGTGAAGATCTTAGAAGGAGCTACAGAAAGTTAGATTACTATGAGGAATCAACATTTAGACTGACAGTTAACAGCAACAATGGAAGCCAGAAGACAATGGAATACTGTCTTGAGAATGATGATTAATTGCCAAGCTAGAGTTTTCTATCCAGTGAAAGTATCTTTTCAGATCAAGAGTAAAATACAGACACTTTCCAAACAATAACAATGACAATAAGTTTAATGAGCCCTCAAGAAATAAACTTCTAGGGGCTTCTGGGAGGCTTGCTCGATTGAGTGACTGACTCTTGATTTTGGCTCAGGTCATGATCTCAAGGTCGTGAGATGGAGCCCCATAATGGGGCATGGAGACATGCTGGGTGTGGAGCCTGCTTAAGATTCTCTCTCTCCCTGTCCCTCTGCACCACCCTCCAAATGGCTCTCAAGCTCTCTCTCTCTCTCCCTCAAAAAAAGAAAGGATGGAAGGAAGGAAGGAAGGAAGGAAGGAAGGAAGGAAGGAAGGAAGGAAGGAAGGAAGGAAGAAAAACAAACTTCTAAAGGATAACCTTGAAGAAAATTATCCCAAAAGGAAGGTCTGAGAGATAAAGGGAAAATGAGCAGATAAAAAGGTAAACGCTTCAGTAAATCCAAACACTCACTGTGTTCAAAGGAGCAAAAACCATAGCTAAACAAACACAAAAAGTGGGGACGCCTGGGTGGCTCAGTCGGTTAAGCGTCTGCCTTCGGCTCAGGTCATGATCCCAGGGTCCTGGGATGGAGCCCCGAGTCAGGCTCCCAGCTCAGCAGGGAGCCTGCTTCTCCCTCTGCCTGCTTCCCCCTGCTTGTGCTCTCTCTCTCTCTCTCTGACCAATAAAATAAATAAAAATCTAAAAAAAAAACAAAAAGTGAATAAAAGAGGAAGGGAAATAGAAATGGAAGAATGGAGGGGCGCCTGGGTGGGGCAGTTGGTTAAGTGTCCAACTCTTGAGTTCAGCTCAGGTCATGATCTCAGGTTTGTGAGATGGAGCATCAGGCTCTGCGCTAAGTGCAGAGTCGGCTTGGGATTCTCTCTCTCCCTCTCCCTTTGCCCCTCCCCCATCTCTAAAAAAAGAAAGAAAGAAATGGAAGAATGGAGAGAACAAGGAATGAATGATTTTCTTCCTAAAGCTTTTCTGCAGCCATAATCAGGGAAATGCAATCACACCTGAAGGAGATGTGGCCTCCAGCAGGCATTCAATACTCACCCAAAACCAAAATAAAGTAGGTTTGGGATTACTTGCCACTTTAACTTATCCATGCCATGGATAACTTTAACTTATCCAACTATCCATGATAGTAATTAAAGAATTACTATCACTAACTATTCACTTCAAACTACCCTGTTGCTGCACTGATACTTCATTTAATTAGAAAATCAAGGTGTTTGGCAAAAGTGAATTTTCCTCGTCTACTAAAGCTCACTATTTAGCAATGGCTTCTTCTATTATTGTTGGTATAAATATTTCTAAAATGATATAATTTCTTATATAGAATACACCAAAAGTATCCAATCCTTTCCTGACTGCCCAAGGTCATTGGCAGAAACAACTACTATTATTGCTGATACAATGAAATAGCCTCCAATACCCAAGGTATGAGGTCTTGTGTGACTACTAAGCCTTGCCCACGCTGCCACGTGTACCCTTGATCATCACTGCCCTGGCATCTGCTAGGCCTCCCACCCTGCTCTGACCTGATTTTGTGGCAGCTTTTCTGCTTAGAGCCTCTTCTGATTCCAGGTCCTGGCTCTAGGCCATATCCTAAATATCCAGAAGAAATACATCAGAGAATCTTGGCAAGGCATTCTACTGAATTAGTAACAAATGATAACTATGATTTATTTATACTTTTATAATATCTTCTGTTTCAAGGAGATTAAAGTTCACTCTGTGAATCAGGATGACAGAGGAATAGATGCACCATATGATCCTCATCCCAACTATGTAACAACTCACCCAAAGGAAGACCTATGAGAAAAAACCAGATGTCAGGTGCCTGGGTGGCTCAGGTGGTTAACTGCCTGACTCTTGATTTAGGCTCAGGTTGTGATCTCAGGGTTGTGAGAATGAGCCCGTGTCGGGCTTTGGTGTACTTGGCATGGAGTCTGCTTGGGATCTCCTTCTCCCTCTCTCTCCGCCCCTCCCCCCACTCGTGAGCTCTCTAAATAAATAAAATCAAGGAAAGAAAGAAAGAGAGAGAATGAAAGAAAAAAAGAAAGAAAGAAAGAGAAAGAAGGAAAGAAAGAAAGAAAGATTGATTAACCAGATGGTTAAGAAAGCCCTGGGCTCAAGTGGTTACCTTTTTATGCCTCCTTTCCTAGCTGTAAAGTGAAGGTAACAATAGTATCTTCCTACAATGGATTACTGTGGAAATTAAATGAGATAATGGAAACAAAACAGCAAAGTACCTGGCTGAGGGTAATTAGTATTTCAAATTTTAACTGTTACCTCTTTAAATGCTACTTTGTGTAATAATTCCCATTTAAGTAGACTTCCTTAACTATCTTCTCCATGGCATCCTTACGAAAATACTATTAAAAATATTAATAGTAGCTAATACTTAATGAGCATTGACTATATGTGAAAATCATGCTAACCCCTTTATAGGGCTTGTCTATTTGAATCCTTTGAAAAGTCCTGGGAGGGAGATACCATTACATCCCTGTGGAACACAAGTTCACTGAGACTCTGAGAGGATAAGTAGCTCGTCCAAGTTCAAAGAATAAGTGGTCAAAATGGAGCTTGTACAGGTACGTCTCACTCTAGAACCCATGATTATAAGCACACCCCTATCCTGAGAAGAGAAGCAGCTTCTCCTTCTGCTAAATTCTATTTGTGAGCTAGCTGAGAACAAGCTAATTCTCCTTTAATCTTATCCTCTACTTGACCATTCAAGTTACCTAGTTAGAAAAGCAGCAAAGATTTACACGTTTTGTTTTTGCTTTTTAACTTACCCACTCACAGTCAATTCCAAGTACTGGAAAATCTTCTAACTCACTCCTAAGCAAGGGCTCAATGTGGTCCCACTCGGCCTCCTGAGACACAGTCACCACCTTTGCTCCGAGGATCCTCTCCTCCCATGAGGCTCCGGGGGCCCTGGAGCGCAGCCGGACCTCTTCTGGAGGAGGCAGCTCCCTCCCGCCTGGTGCTTGCTGCTGCGGATGCTGCAGATGCTGCGGATGCTGCGGATGCTGCGGATGCTGCGGATGCTGCAGATGCTGCGGATGCTGCAGATGCTGCGGATGCTGCCACCGCTGCCCTCTGTCCGGGCTCGCTTTACTCCGCCGCCGCCGGATGCCTTTCCACAGGACAAACCCCCCCACGGCCACACCGACGAGGGTGGTCACTGTCAAAGCCATTAAGTATCTAGACATCTTCAACTTTTTCTGCTGTTTAGGAAAGCATATCGCTAATCCCACAATCTGCAAAACAAGTGGCAACAATGTATTTACATACAGAATTTAAACCTAGATGGAAACATGTTTTCCCCTAAAAAGTGCTCCACTTATAATCTATGTATCCACAAACTAAAACAAAATGCTACAGATTTCCACATGGAAAGAGCGGTATTTCTTTTTCTCACTTTTGTACCTTCTGTATTCCACCTCCACCTTCATTCTCACCCAAGGAAAGCCCCCTGCCCTCTACCAGCTGCCCAGCGGTCACTTAATCATATAACAACAGGGAGTCTGAACATAGACACACTTGTACAGAATTTGAAAAATCAGAATTAATTATAAAATTATTAACTAATTAATTAATTAAAATCCTACTGCCCTTAGGTGACTACTGTGATCAGTTTGATGTTCTATTATTTTATACAATTAAAAAAAATAAGAATGGCAGATGGCTTTAGTCAGGGAAACCCCACACAATAGTCTCTCTTCCATTTTTCTCATCACACGTGGTTTTCTCCATCTATCTTTTGTTTTCCTATTTTTGACAGAGAAATGGATATGTAGTACTATTTCTGTACTATTTAAATGACAACAGAAAATGTGTAACAATAAAGGGTAAGTGGCCCTTGGCCTCAGTCACGGAAAGAAATCATGGGACAGACTTCATTCAGCACAAGGTGATTGATCCTGTTTGGGAAGCAGGCCCAGTATAGTCAGATAACTCCATTACTCAAGAGAAGTCAGTTATCTAAATTTTATGGGAAATGTCACTATTTTTAAGTGTCAGCAACAAATTTACAGTTTTTAAAACATTGTACCAGCCAAACAAAAACACTCTGGGCTCTGTGCCACCTATCTGTGGGCTCTGGCCTAAAATCTCTAATGCCCAAAGACACAGTGATCTGCTAGACCCTGCCTATGCTTCTCTATGGCTGAGAGTTTACCACTGAATGTGTACTATTTTAATCATTTTTCAAAGTTTCGGTAACAGTTATTTTTTAAATAACTTAATATTTACAACAACGCTGGGCTATCATCATACCTACAGAAATATTTGGCATTGGAGATGAAAAATGAAATCACAACACTGCTAATGAAAACAATAAAATGGCTGTGCTGTTTTAAAAAGATTTACTTTATTGCTGAAACTGTGCTAAGTACTCATGTATACTTTCTCCAGTACTTTTACTTAAGGCTTAATGAGATTAAAGAATTTGCACAAATTTCTAGTTAAAATATTCTGAGAAGATGTTTAAAAAAAAACCCTCCCTTTCTCACTGGAAACAATACAAAATGCCGGAGAAGACATTAAAAAGATAAAAGTATAATACAGAGTTAAATTCAAAAAGAGGAAAGGGAAATCATCAGGTGCCAGAAATGGAAGTAGGTGGGAGAGATAGCTGGGCAGAGACCAGAACTCATACCAGCCCATGACCAGAAGTCTAGGCCACAAGGCCAGGGTACAGCTGGGACCCTGGAGAGTGCTACCTTATCCATGAACAGGAACTGAAAGTACTCACCCACCACGGTGCAGGCAAGCCACCTGCCCAAGGCTGAGAGTATGAACAGAGCTCCTCATAGGAAGACAGTCCCTCAACCCTGCACTATGAAGCAGTACAGGGGCCAAGTTCACATTATCCTCACAAAAGAAAACCCTAAGCCAAGAACCTAAAACTAAAATGGTTAGAATTGGTGCATTCTGTTGGAGTGTGTGTATGTGTCTGTTTCTAACACACAGGAAACACGTAGGACTTCCACAGAAGATCAGTCTCTAGCAGAGCAATCATAAATGAATAAAAACAAAACAAAAATCAAAAAACCCTAGAGCCAATAAAAAACAGTTCACAGAAGAACCAAACAAAAATATCCATATCTGAGATCTGAAAGGAACTTTAAAATAACAACACTCGAGGAAATTAAGGAAAATAAAAGCTAAAACATGAACAGCAGACAACAAAAAGTAGAAATTCTAGACACGAAAGATATTTGTTAAAATTTTTTAAAAGTTCAATAATCGGGCGCCTGGGTGGCTCAGTCGGTTAAGCGACTGCCTTCAGCTCAGGTCATGATCCCGGAGTCCTGGGATCGAGTCCCACATCAGGCTCCCGGCTCAGCGGGGAGCCTGCTTCTCCCTCTGACCCTATCCCCTCTCATGCTGTTTCTCTCTCTCTCTCTCTCAAATAAATAAATAAATAAAATCTTTAAAAAATAAAAAAATAAAAAAAATAAAAGTTCAATAATCAATAGACAGGTTAAATAGTAGATCAGACAGAGAGAGAGAGTTAGGGACTTGAAGATAAATCTGAGGAACTCACTCAGAATGTAGCACAGAAAGATGTAGAAAACATAGCAGAGACATGAAGGATAGATCGAGAAACTCAACATCCATGTAGTGAAGAGTTGGAAGACGGAGGTCATCAGATTTAGTACAGTTCTCTGAGTCCCAAGTTGGATAAATTAAATCTATCCACAAAAAAACTTAAGAATGTTCGTAACAGCTTTATTCATAAGACTAAAGATACATGTATGAATCTTAAATTATATTAGGCTGAGTGAAAGAAGCCAGATACAAAAGAGATACTGTATGGTTCTATTTACATAAAGTTCTAGAATAACTAAAATTAATCTATAGTAGAAAAATATCTGGGGCGCCTGGGTGGCTCAGTTGGTTGAGCGACTGCCTTCGGCTCAGGTCATGATCCTGGAGTCCCTGGATCGAGTCCCGCATCGGGCTCCCTGCTCGGCAGGGAGTCTGCTTCTCCCTCTGACCCTCCTCCCTCTCATGCTCTCTGTCTCTCATTGTCTCTCTTGCAAATAAATAAAAAATCTTAAAAAAAAAGAAAAGAAAAAGAAAAATATCTGAACAGTAGTTGCCTTGGGGTGGGGGTAGGGGGTTACAGGGAAGAGATTTAAGCTGAGCACTGAGTATCAAAAAAAGAGCCGGTCACGAAAAATTCTAGGGAAGAGCATTTCAGGCAAGAGGGAACTTTCTAGAATTGCATGTAACATTCCAAGTCTTGATGGAAGCTTGGGTTACACAGGTACACACATTTGTCAAAATTCAGCAATATTAAAAAAAAAATTCAGCAATATTTCTGATGTTTTCCCAGTGGCCTGACTGATGAATAACTGCTGGTTCATTCACTGTCTATCTTTCCCACTAGCTTGTAAACTCCATGAAAACAGCAACCTTACCTGGCTCCTTCAACACTACATATATCCCCAGGAACTAGCACAGAGCTCATAATAATAAATACTCATTGAATGAATAAAACTCAATTCAAGGTGTTATATTTTATGATAAATGTCTCTACTTTAATCATCCAATTACAAAAATCTGTTTATTCCAATGAAAAAAGCATTTTTCCCCTTACTGAGCCTTGATGCTAAAAAGAAACAGCATGATTCGACGCTGGGCCAGAAGTGAGAAAAATCAAATTTTGCATTACAAACTGAAAGTTTGTGTCCCTCTAAAATTCATATGTTGAAATCCTATCCCCCAATGTGATGGTATTAGGAGGTGGAGCCTCTGGAAGGTGAGTAGGGTTAGGTGAAGTCATGAGGGTGGAGCCCCGAGGAATGGGATTAGTGCCCTTATAAAAGCTTGCCTCCCTGATCTGTCATGTGAGCATACAATGAGAAGTGAGCAGTTCGCCTTGTGAAAGAGGGCTCTCACCAGGACCTACCCATGCTGGCACCTTGCTCCTGGACTTTCAGCCTCCAGAACTGGGAGAAATACGTTTCTGTTTTTTATGATCCACCCAGTCTGTGGTATTCTACTTTAGCAGCCCCAAGAGACTAAGATACCTCTCTAAGGGCTTGCTCTGGGATCCAAAGCTTTCAGGGCCTTACCACCTTCCATGACTGAAAACAATCTGCCATTTTAATTTATTTTTTTAAATTGTACATAGTAGGGGCACCTGGGTGGCTCAGTCAGTTAAGCGTCTACCTTCAGCTCAGGTCATGATCTCGGGGTCCTGGGATGAGCCCCGTGTCAGGCTCCCTGCTCAGCGGGGAGTCTGCTTCTCCCTCTCCCTCTGCCGCTCCCCCTGCTTGTGTGCACACACTCTCTCTCAAATGAATAAATAAAATCTTTTAAAAAAATAAAATAAAGTTGTACCAGTAATTGAATATCAAACTGACAACAGTGATTACCTAATGGTAGTAGGATTATAATTTTGATTTTTCAAATTCTGTGCAAGTATGTGTATCTCTTGATAATTAGAGAAGTACTCGTTATTTTAAACTGATGTTTTTTACAGATAGGCAATGTAAATATCACACTTAAGACATGATTATATTCCTGAAATAAATCACATTTGGATGAATTAAACAAATATGTTAAGCTGTTCAGGGAGCAGCCTAAGGTAGAGGATAAGGACAAGGGCCCTAGAGTCAAATACCCTGGGTTCAAATCCAGCCCCTGCCACTTGCTAGCTATATAACTTGGGCAATTCACTGAACTTCTCTAAGTCTCTGTTTCCTCACTGGTAAAATGGGAAAGATAGTACCTACACCCCGTGGGACTCCTGTGAAACTTTTTTTTTTTTTTTTACTCCTGTGAAACTTAAAAGTAAGGTGATCAATACACCTGATTTAGCATACTGGCTAGCACATCAGGGTTCCATAAATGTCAGTTCTTACTGCTATTGGGCTCTATAAACCACAGAACTCCTATTAAAGGAAAACAAAGAATCACAGAGTGAAAATTCAGGAGCCAAATTCAGCTCCTGCACAAGTTAAGAATCCTTTCTGTGGTAATCCTGACAGATCATGACCTGGTCTCTATCTGAACACTTCTAGGAACAGAGTTCATCACCTTAAGAGGGAGTTTTTATTGAAAAGTCCTTGCATTCTGCAAAAGTTCCCTACTTAGACATTGTTCTCTTTTTAGGTTTTTTTTAGGGTGAGAAGAACAAAGGGAGAGAATTTTAAGCAGGCTCCACAACCAGCATGGAGCCGAATGTGGGGCTCGATCTCACAATCCTGAGATCATGACTTGAGCCGAAATCAAGAGTTGGGCA